TATATGGTTCTGTTTCTCTAGAGAACCCTAAGACACATAGCCATTCAGGCAGAATGGTCACTTGCCCTTTGTGGCCCCTGGCCTATACTGGTGCCTCTTACAGGATTCTAATTACATTGACTCTAATTATAAATCAGCCAATCTCCCCCGTAGATTTCTGAGCTCCCTCGGGGCAGAGATGTAAGCTTATTTGTATGGGACATTTGTTAAAATACAGATGCCCAAATCCCATAATAGGCCCACAGGATTAGACTCTTTAGGCTTGGGTCCTGGGCACCTGCATTTTTACTAAGCTACCCAGGTAATTTTTATGGTCTTTAATGTTTCAGAACCACTGCCTCAGTGCTCTTAACAGTGACTGGATTCATGAGGGGTACTTAGTATTCTAAAAAAAACACGAACATATCTCAGTTTCTGAGAAGTCTCATCAGCCCTTTCAGGAGAAGAAGGATAGGTACAGGCAAAGACTACGGAGAAAGAAATACTTGCTGGTCTCTCTAGCTTAGTGAACTTCTGATCTATTCCAAAAAGCAATAAGGTGACATAGATTATGATGCAAATTTTTGTTAAATTATTTTATTTATTTTAACAGATAATTCATGTAACATGATAAAAAATTTAAAATATATTTTAAAAAAATGGTACAGTGAAGAGTCAGTCTCCTTCCTATCTCTATCCCTTAGTTCTTTAATCCTCACTATCTCTAGAGGTAACCACTATTCTTTTGCATGTTTTTAATAAAGAGTTTGCAATTTCAGAAAGTGATCCACTTCAGCAGTTGAGTTCATGTAGGTCAGGGATCATTCTTTTTCTTTTCTTTTTTTTTAAAGCTTTTTATTTTAAAATAATTGTAGATTCACAAAAATTTGCAAATACTACAGAAGAGTTCGGTGTACCCTTCACCCAGTTTCCCCCCAATGGTTATATTTTATGTAACCATTGTACAATAACAAAACCAAGAAATTGGCTTTGGTACCATGTGTGTATAGTTCTATGCCATTTTACTACATGTGTAGGCTCCCCACTTGAACTTTGTTAATGCGGATGGGGTAGTACCACAGGTTTTTCAGTGGTGTTTGATTGGAGTAGGGCAATTATTGTCTAAATGTTTTTTTTTCTTGGTAAGCTGCCCTTTCCTGTTCTTCTAGCTGGAGACAGCAGGTTTTTCTCAGAGTGTTTATTGTCTGTGCCCACTGGTGTTTCCAGGTTCCAGTCTAGGATATATTAGGCAAAAAGAAAGCCCAGGGAACTCACTGCCATGTTGTTCCTCTGATTCCTAGATCTTAGCCCATCTTCCTTCTTCTTTCCATCTTCCAGAGTCCTCTTACATTTGTTTTATACATAATGTCCAGGGTTTTTAGCTGCCCTTAGTGGGAAGAATAGAGATAAGTGTGTCTACTCCATTTTGTTGCGGAACCGGAAGGAATCATGCATATTTTATTTGTTTAGACTCTAATATGTAGATGGAACCCTGGGAAACATTTTTCTATACGTGAAAAACCAAAGAACTTTTCATTTTGTTCTTTTGCATTCTACCTGCTTTTCCAAAGCCGTTTCTTTACTTTAATTTACATGTCTGCCTCAGCACTCGTCTGCATACACTGTTTGGGGACCTAGCAAACAGTCCAAGGCTCCGGGACACAGACAGAGATATGATTATGAAAGGACCCAACATTGGACTGAGAACTTTTTGTCTTTGGGGAAAAATTGTGAGTGTTTAATGCACAATGATGAGAATTAGTTTGTCCAAAATGTATAGAAGTGTGAGGTGTGGAGGCAGAGGAGTTACTGTGAGCTGGGGGATGGTCGAGCCCCAGTGTACAGTTGTGTAGAAGGCGAGAAGAGGGCAGAGACCAGTGAAGCAAAGTCATCCCTGACGCTCGCCCCCAGGGGCTGCCTCCAGCTCATCTCTACTTGGTTCCAGGCATGGGGGTCCCAGAAACCAGCAGGGAAATCTTGCTTCTAGTTTGTTGAGCAGTGCACACCTACTATGTTCAAGGCCCTGTAGAGTTAGAAAAAAAGACATCTAAGATGCCATCCTGCTCCCAAAAACCATGCATACAGTACAGAAGCTTCCAACCTTGTGGATTCCTTTCTCATCCTGTTTCTCTCTTGAACTCTCACAACCAGAGCTCATCTGCTCTGCTGGAGAGACAAAACAAAAACAGAGCAGAAAGAGAAAGCCTCTCAACCAGACAGCCTGAGCCATCTCTAGGAGGAAGCATTCACCTGATTTCTGAAGCAGTGCAAGGGGTGCCCAGGTGACCTACCCATCACGGGGCGGCTGCCATGGCATACTCCACACATCTGATGCTGCCCAGGGAGAAGCTGGCAGCTTGTGACAGCTTTCCCAGCTGGAGAGTATCTGGCTCAACAGGCAGGGCGTCATCCATGCAGCCTGCCAGAGACAAAGCTCACAAGATTCGGAGCTTCCACCTGCCTGGGCAGTGACACGCTCAGCTGTGCAGGGAGCTGGGAGAGCCTCGGGCGCAAGATGATGCTTGGGAGAAACTTCCCCAAAGCCTTCTGCATTGGGCTGACTGTGATCATTGCCTTCGATATCCTTCTGGTATTTTACACCAAGGGAAGCTTACAAAGCTTGACTGTGAGTATGCTCCACAAGGGTCTTCTTTTGCCTTTGGCTGAGCACGATGGGGCAGTGATAAAGAGACTCTCACTTGGAGGGAGATTTTCAACATCTAAGTAAGCTGATAACACCAACTTGGAGGGAATGGAGAGTGTGTGTGTGTGAGTGAGTGGGGGGCACCTGCAGGAAGTAGAAACAGGGTCCTAGAGTGAAAAAAAAAAATGGGCAAGGGGCAAAATTTTTATCTGTCAATTTAAGCATGTCCAACTGGGAGGTAAATATGGAGATGAGGGGAGTTGAAAAGGAGGTTAAAACTAGTAGGTTGGGGAAGTTTGGGAAACAGGGTGTGCCTATATAAGCAGTGTGTGTGTGCATGCACATATGTGATCACATCCATATATATGCAGGCAGAGAAGCTGAGGTTCAGATTAAGATCCCTGAGAGATGCAGAAATACTTAGGCACAGCCCTGTCCTTAGGATATATGTGGCAGGCACTGGTACATAGAGGTGGGCAATCTCAGGAGCAAAGGTCTCACTTCCATTTTGCTGTGAGCTGCTATCATGAACTAGTGGTTAGCTTTGTTAGAGGAGCTAAGATGGATAGTTGTGAGACTTTGAGCAAGTGCTTATCTCTCTCAGCCTCAGGTTCCTGGTCTGTAAGTGGAGATGATGATGATGATAATGATAACAGTGCCTACCTAACCTCACAGGGCTGTGATGATACAGTGCAGTAATTAATATATGCAGAAAAGGATCTATAAACTGATAGATGCCAAACTGTTACCCCTTCACTGAAAATTCTGGGTAAGATTCAATGAATTCCGGCTCACCATGGAACTCTGACTCCCTTGAGTTGTACGTGCTTCTGCATCTGACTTCAGTGAGAGGAAGTGGCAATTTTCCCCTTGCCCCTCAAGTGACAGGGATCAAATGCTTGAAATTCTGAAGTGAGGTGCTGAGTGTGTGAGCCTGAATGTGACTGCGTGTGTGTATGTGTGTGTGTGTGCGCGCGCGCGCTTGCCCCCGCATGCATGGAACTGGAGTTGGGGAAAGCGTCTTTTAAAGTGGGAACCTAGCATTATCAGGTTTCAGGGTGAAGCGGAGGGATGGATGGAAGGAAATACAGGAAGAGAAAGAGGGAGGAAGAGAGGAAATCAGAGAAAGGGAGAGAAAGAAGATGAAAGAGGAGGAAAGAGATGGAGATAGAAAAGAAGGAGCAAAGAAGTGAGAGAGTCCAGGGAGAGGGAATGAAAGAGTTTATATGGGGATAAGAGAAGAAAGGGAAAAATGAGGTGGAGGAGGGGAGAAAAGGAGAGAGAGGGAGGCATAAAGCACCTTAGCACCTGTATCAGTCGGGTTTTTACTAGAGAAAAAGAACAGGTAAGGTATATACCAAAACCTGTTGCCATCAAGTCTATTGTGACTCATAGTGACCCTATAGGACAGAGTAGAACCACCCCATAGGGTTTCTAAGGCTGTGATCTTTACAAAAGCAGATTGCCACATCTTTCTCCTGTGGAGTGTCTGGTGGGTTTGAACTGCCCACCTTTCGGTTAGCAGCTGAGTGCTTAACCACTGTGGCACCAGGACTCCTTAAGATATATAGATCTCTGTATATCTAAATATCTGTATATCTATTTCTTAGGTAGTTGTGGAGCCCTAGTGGCACAATGGTTAAGTGCTCAGCTGCTAACCAAAAGGCCAGCATTTCAAATCCACCAGCTACTCCTTGGAAACCCTATGGGGCTGTTCCATCCTGTCCTATAGGGTCGCTATGAGTCGGAGTTGATTAGTTGGCAACCAGTTTCATTTTTTGTTTTTTATGTAGTTGTGGGATCTAGCTGGGTGTCTTAGTTATCTAGTGCTGCTATAACAGAAATACCACAAGTGGATGGCTTTAAAAAAGAGAAATTTATTCTCTCACAGTCTGGTAGGCTACAAGTCCAAATTCAGGGCATCAGCTCCAGGGCAAGGCTTTCTTTCTCTATTGGCTCTGGGGAAAGATCTTTGTCATCAATCTTCCCCTTGTCTAGGAGATTCTCTGCACAGGAACCCTGGGTCCAAAGGATGTGCTCTTCTCCTGGTGCTGCTTTCTTGGTGGTATGAGGTCCTCCTGTCTCTCTGCTCGCTTCTCTCTGTTATATCTCAAAAGAGATTGGCTTAAGTTGTAGATTAATCTTGTAGATTGAGTCTACATAACTGCTACTAATCCTATCTCATTAACATCATAGAGATAGGATTTACAACACATAGGAAAATTACATCAGGTGACAAAATGGTGGACAGTCACACAATACTGGGAATCACGACCTAACCAAGTTGACAGATATTTTGGGGGGACACAAATCATTCCGTGACACTGGGCAAATCCAAAATCTGTAGGGCAGGCAGGAACTGACACTGCAGTCCACAGGGAGGATTTATTCTTCCTCAGGGAAACCTGAGTTTTACTCTTAAAGACCTTTCAACTGAGTGGATGAGGCCCACCCACATTGTTGAGAATAATCTCCTTTTCTTAAAGTCAGCTGATAGTTAGGTGTTAATCACGTCCTCAAAATACCTTCACAGCCACATCTAGATTAGCATTTGATTAAGTAACTGGGTACTACAGCCTAGCTAAATTGATGCATAAAACAGCATCCTCTATGTCCGCTCTCATAAGACTTATATTTTACTGTAGTAAAATTTTCAGGAAGGTGAGTTTCATAAGGTCCAGTTCATTGTCTGATCCACCACTCTAATGCCCCATGTCTGGCACATAGAAGTTAAATAGATGAATAAATGAATGAGTGAGTGTATGAAGGAGAGAACAAAGGACAGGCAGGCAGGGAAGCAAGGAGGAGTGATACAGGGCAAGAGAGTGGGTGAGACAGAGAGAAGACTGCCCTCAATAAATAAATACACTTAAGCAAACTATGTAGACTATCAAGAGCAAAAGCAAACACATAAATGTTAATTATATCCCTATTAAGGGAAAGGTTGATGA